AAAAAAAAAAAAAAAAAAAAAAGTAAGTAAGTAAGAACGGGAACAGAAAATCCCAAACACCAACCTAAATAAACTAAAGAAAATCACCACCCAACTAACACAAAACAGAAACATCAAAAACAGAAAAGCACCCAAAATTAAACAAAAGCAACTAAGCCAATACTACAGTAACAAAACAGAAAATGCCAAAAGCACTAGCTAACCAAATGACGCCTGAAAATTTGCACTGCTATCCACCGGGGAAGCCTACAGAAGCTGTCAAACAGAACCACCAGGAGAATCAAACAAGACATTCAGTTCTTTCTTTCTTTTTTTCCTTATGCATTTTAGTTTCTTTTTTATAAAATTAATAAGTAGTATCTATTGTTATTTGTAAATTTTATTTTTTTTGTCAATTTTTCATTTTATCGGATAACCGATAACCGAACCGAGAAAACCGATAAATTTTAGGTTTGAAACCGAACCAAACCGTAGTTTTCGGTTCGGTTTTCGGTCTTAATATTGGATGAACCGAATTTTCGGTCGGTTCAGTTTTGACCGATTGTGCAACCCTAATTATTATCATTATTAATTTATTACGGCTTTGCAGTGCAATTTTTCCCGTGCATCACTGTTTAACGGATAACAACTCAAAAAAATAAAAATAAAAGTAACAGCAGCAAAGAAAAAAAAAAGACCAACTGCAAAATGAAACTTGCAAAACGATTTACATAAATGGGATCGCATTAATAATTAAGGCCGAGCCTGTTTAATGGATAACAGCTTCAACAAAAAAAAGAAAAAAAAGTAACAGCTCCAAAGAAAAAAAAAAGGCCAACTGCAAAATCAAACTTGCAACAAGATCTACATAACAGAACAAGACTGGATCGCATTATGAGGCCGACCATTACTAGAAATTAAAATCTACTTGTTGGGAAATTTGGCCCAACCCAAACCCTATCTCAGGCCCGAGGACGTCTCGGCCCACTCCCGTCTTGGGCCTGGCACTTACCCGATTTAATTGGTACCGTTAGATTTAGGGGTTAAATCCTAACCCTCCATTTACACCTTATATATCTATCCCTCCCTCTCGCCTACCAACAGAACAAAAATAAACACACCCTCTGTTCTCTCTTTTACAACGCAGCAATCTCTCTCTCTCTCTCTCTCTCTGTGAGATTGAATGGTTATTTTTCTTCTCTGTGAGTAAAAAACTGATTCTCTCTCCCTCTCTTTCTTTGTTCTTTGTGACTTTGAGTGTGAGTGAGATTGTGAGAACCACCGTGAGAGCCTTCGTGAGAGCTGCCGTTGTGTCGCCTTTGTGCCGTTGCCGTCGCCTTTGTGCCGTTGCCGTCGCCGTAATCAACCCGCCGGTTAGAGCTCTTGGTGGGGCTTCCGGCGAGCCGTTGTGCGAGAAGGAGGGGTTAGGCGACGTGTGACCGGGTGCGGGGCTTGGAGTGAGGTGCAGCCCGGGGAAGGGCCGAGGAACCGGGGCCGCCGTTCATTGACCACCGCCGAGCCGCTACTTACCGAGGATAATCTGAGCCGGGAGACTTCGTGTCTTCATTATCCGGCCAGATTCCGGTCAAAAGGGAGTCTTTTGTTTCTTTCTCCTTTTATTTCTTTTTTCCCAGCATTTTTACTTGATTTGTTCTCGTTAAAACCACTGATATTTATCCTTGTAATCTCCCTTGCTTTGTGCATTTGTATTCAGGTTGATTCGGGGTTGTAAAGGGGCTGAAACGAGCGTTGAAAGCCCGAGCTGGGACCAGCCCGGGACCCGAAAGAGAGCTGCAGCTGCAAAGGGAGGAGAACGGGCCTTATTGGAGCGTGTGTGGATCAGCCCTGGCCCCGAAAGAGACGACCGGGACCTGTTGGTTGCTGTCCGGGTCCTAACGGGAGCTTTCCGGACCTACCAAGTGCTGTTGGGACGAACCAGCAGCTGTTCAGGACACATTCGGGGCCAGCCCGGGCCCGGTGGAGTTCAAACCGAAGCTTCCGCTGCCAATGACGAGAGCGGTGTGACCGGGACGGCCACACAACACTACTTACGATCTAACACCTTCTGGAGGGAGGGTAAACGCTCAATCTGCGAAATCAAGTCAAACAGCGGAAGACAATTAAAATCTAATTACCACAATATTGTCGTTCACCCATGGGCTTTTTCATTGTTCTTCGTCGTCTCCATTTCTCCCATGGGCTTTTTCACCGGTCTCGTAGCTCTTCAATGGCTCGCAATCAGCATCTTCAATCTTGTGTAGCATCTTCAATCTTGTGTAATTGTGTACGAAAGTGTGGGACTCTATGACGGTTTGGCTTCCGCTCTGATTGCATGTATCTATGGTTTATGTGCCCATAGATACCTGCAATGACAGCGGAAGCCAAAATGTAGAGTCCATATTTTGGTACACAATTACAAGATTGGAGATGTTGATTACGTTAATTGGGAACCATTGAAGAGCCACAAGAGCGGTAAAAAGCCCATGAAAGATATGGGATGGGATGAATAGCAGATGAGAAGAAAGTGAGATTGTGTTTGATTGAGAACGAATGGCTACCTTTTTTTTATGGTTAACGGAGAAGAAAGACTATGATTTGATTGATTGAGAATGACTATTTTACAGAGAAGAAAGTGAGAGAAGAGATAGAGACCTATTTTTTTTATAATGGATAATTGTTATTAATCATTCTTTTATTGATTTTTATTCTTTCTTAGGCCTCGTTTACTAGCCATGATAGGATATGATAAGGTTGGTTAACCAACCTTATCTTACATTTACTAGCTGGAATAGGGATTAGGATTCGGCTTATGTGGCGCGCGGGTCCCACATCCAAAATGCTGAGTGGTCGGATTCTTTTGTCCCCCCATTTTGGCCAGATAATTTTATCCCACTTTTCAAATTACCTTTCTGTCCAAAGATTACCACTTGAAATGTCCAAAATACCCTCTTTTGTCCATCAAATTACACAATTGGTCATATAAAATATACTTTTGTGTCATCCACGCACACTTCGTCCTCTTCGACAAACCCTAATAGCTGCCCAGGTGTGTTCTTCATAATTTTTTTTTTCCCATTTTTTCGCCCAACTGTCTCGAATCATTGGGCTGAGAATCGACCCCAATGTAAGAACTATTCAGTCTTTTTTTTCCCCTAGCAATTTTGAGAGAACTCACCTCGCTGAACCTCTCAGCCGACGGTGCACAAACCTTCGGATCATCCTACGACGCCAATCTCGATTTCCGCCGACAACTTTCGCTTCGTCCTAATACTCATCTTAACCTCGTCGATCTGCTTATGTCGACGATAATAGGTCGTCGTCCTTTTATGCCTCGCCTGACTATGCCCTTTTCCTATTCGAAGACTGAAGCTTAAAGCTATAACTGAAGAGTGGAAATCCCACTATTATGTATGAAGATCAAGAACGAAGTGCTTGTATTCTTTTTTGTGAAAAAGGTGGATTTTGCAGAAGTTAGGATTTGGTTTCGAAAAATCAGAGGAAGAGAATGGAATTATTGTGAATATGAGATGAGGGTAAAATTGAGATTATCAGTTTTAGTCATCTTGTGTAAGCTAGCTAGTAAACATTGGATGGGATAAAATAAATTTGGGTATTTTTGGTAAACATGTGATAGAATCCAAGTCATTGGATAAATTGTCATATCCTATCTAATCCCTGTCCCGCTAGTAAACGAGGCCTTAGATAATGATATTGAAATTGGACTTTATCGTCCAAATAAATATGGTGGTTGTTAAGAAATAATCCATGTTAACTATTGATGGGTCAATTTGCAATTAAAAAGAATATGTAACTTTTGTAATTGGTTTTATTCAGCTCAATCTCTTAATTCAAAGATCAATCTCTTAATTCAAATACGATAATATAGACACTAGTACGAATCACGTGCGATGTACAGGTAAGAGCATCCACAATACATTGGGTCTCTTAGAAAAAAATTACATGCATGTAGGAAATAGATCTAGTCTATAAAAAATGTTTCACAATGCAATTAAAATTAGACTTAGTCTAACTTATGTGGCACTAGAAAAAAGAGACTAAGCCCATACTTGGTGAACCCACCTAGTCTTTAATTGTTCACAATTTTTTTTTTCTTTTTAATAGACAAAACACAATTTTTTTGTATGCATTTATTATTACTATATTTTTATTGGGTCTTTTTTGTTTTGCATTTGATAGTTTTTGGATTTTTTAGCTTGGGTTTGTCCATGTCATTATGGACTTAAATCTATTTATTTGTCACATATGTAAAAAAAAGACCCAAAACATTGTGGTACTCTAAAGATATTTATAAATAAATTATAAATTAAAAATATTAATTAAATAATATTTATAAATATAAAATATAGAATCAATATATAATATAATTTACCTATATTAATTAAAAAAGTTATATGAAATTCA